ACCACTGCTGTATCTACACTCACCACTGCTGTATCTACACTCACCACTGCTGTTTCTACACTCACCACTGCTGTATCTACACTCACCACTGCTGTACCTACACTCACCACTGCTGTACCTACACTCACCACTGCTGCATCTACACTCACCACTGCTGTATCTACACTCACCACTCCTCCATCAACACTCACCACTCCTCCATCAACACTCACCACTCCTCCATCAACACTCACCACTCCTCCATCAACACTCACCACTCCTCCATCAACACTCACCACTCCTCCATCAACACTCACCACTCCTCCATCAACAACCAGCCCTCCCTCCTCCTCTTCCTCCTCCAATAATTTTTCTCTCCCTGGGTTTACTACTCCCTTGTTCCCTTACGTCAATACTCTCTGCTCCCTCTCTCAGCTCCACCCTTCTCACCATCCTTGGCTCCTCTGCTTCACACTCCCCTTATCTGCTTCTCATTTCCTCCTGTTCTATTATCCCTCCCTCTTCCCTGCTCCAATTAAACCTTCAGTGTAACTGCATTATCACTATTTTCCATTAATTCCTTTTCCTCCCCTACGTCTATAATCCATTCTGTCAGCTCCCCTTATTCCACTCTACCTTCTCCTCCTCCTCTTCTGCCGTCCTTCAGTACTGTGTTTTGTCTCTTTTATCAAGTCTTCTCGTGTTCTCTTTCGTCCCTTCCCAATTATCTTCTTTGCTTTTATCTCGCTCTTCACTATTATACCAATTTTTACGCACCTCTCAGTGTATATACACCGGGAGATACACACCTCTCAGTGTATATACACCGAGAGATACACACCTCTCAGTGTATATACACCGGGAGATACACACCTCTCCTTGTATATACATCGGGAGATACACACCTCTCAGTGTATATACACCGAGAGATACACACCTCTCAGTGTATATACACCTAGAGATACACACCTCTCAGTGTATATACACCGAGAGATACACACCTCTCAGTGTATATACACCTAAAGATAGGCACCTCTCAGTGTATATGCACCTAGAGATACACACCTCTCAGCGTATATACGCCGAGAGATACACACCTCTCAGCGCATATACGCCGAGAGATACACATTTCCCACTCCTCTTCAGTTCCCTGGTGGCGTTTTATTCGTCAGAAAAAAATGCCTCCTGTGGTGGATGTTAGTCAAATAATATCTGACTCAGGGCGTCACCAGCCACCGGCGTCCCAGGGCTGGCAGATCAACCCAATGTGAAAAATTATATATATCTACTAATTACATTGGGTACGCCTTTAAAACTTTTGTCATGTGTAATGCCTCCGCGGTCATCTAGGGAGGCAATATCATCCTGTTATGTGGCGGTGAAACAGAAGGGTGTTAAACATTAAGCACTCTGGCAGAAATTATTACTGTTCTCATTACCGGAGTATTTCGTTTCTGATTCAGACGCTGTGGTCTGAGAGCCGCGGGGGCGATGACCCCTCAAAAACCACAGCTGTAACTAAATGCCCAATGAAAAAATGCAAGAAACTTTGATAATATTGAGAAGAATCGAATTTTTCTTTTCATTTCGAATCAATTATAAAGATTTGAGTGGAGTTTACCTGGAGAGGGTTTCGGGGGTCAACGCCCCCGCGGCCCTGTTCGAGACCAGGCCTCATGGTGGATCAGGGTCTGATCAACCAGGCTGTTAATAATGGCCGCACGCAAACTGACGTACGAACCACAGCCCGGTTGGTCAGGTACTAAGTGCCTGTCTAGTGCCTTGTTGAAGACAGCCAGGAGTCTATTGGTAATCCCCCTCATGTATGCTGGGAGGCATTGTAGATGAATGGTTCAGAGAACCGACATGTTGATAAATTAGACACATGTGCAACTCTTGGGTATCTTTATTGAGGAAACGTTTCACCACACAGTGGCTTCATCGGTCCATTCTGTTCAAGATTGATGGACTGACCACATCGACTCAAGGTTGAGGGACTGATTACCTCATTCTCCTCCTGTTCTTCAAGTTTCTCCTATGTGTGGACTGATGAAGCCACTGTGTGGCGAAGCGTTTCCTGAATAAAGATACCCAAGAGTTGCACATGTGTCTAATTTATGATCATGCTGGGACGCAGTTGAACAGTCCTGGGTCCCGGACACTTATTGTGTTGTCTCTCAGTGTACTCGTGGCACCCCTGCTTTTCATCAGGAAAATGTTGCATCTCCTGCCGAGTCTTTTACATTCATAGTAAGTGATTTCCGTGTGCAGGTTTGGTACCAATTCCTCCAGAACCTTCCAAGTGTATATTATCATGCATCTCTCTCGCCTGCGTTCCAGGGAATACAGATCAAGGACCTTCAAACGTTCCCAGTAATTTATATGTCTTATCGTGCTTATATGTGCCGTGAAAGTTCTCTGTACACTCTCTAGGTCAGCAATGTTTCCAGCCTTGGAGGGGGCCGTTAGTGTACAGTAGTATTACATCTGTGTATAATTTTTCCCCTTAGAAGTCAATTTAGAGAGCAAGTGTGATTCAAAATTATGCTCAAGGCCACTCACCCAGTACACCGCCAGTCTCACACAATTACTGTGTACAAGCTATGCTGTAAATACTCCACTCGCGCGACCTTGTGACAGTTCTCATGCCTCGAGGCTGTAGAGCCCTGCTCTTACCACCGCAGGGTGGAGCCCACATCTGGTTAGTTGGTTAATTGGGCTTAAAGCCTATCGACTACACGAAGATCATTAAAGCTGCGCACCACCTGTTTACCACGTGTCAAGAATACTCTAATCCCTAAAATATGAATTCAAATTGACCCAGAGTACACGTATATATACATATATGATGGGGTCCACCTCTGGTGCAAACTTTGGGACTCACAGCCTCGGAGAAGTGGATAAAAAGGCTTCAAGGAAGAATATTTGGATTTCTTCCCACATTTTGTTATTTATCTGAATATATTAAGTAATTGATCCAGTGTGTCTAAGCTTCCAGGTTTGCGCCTTTGCTAGCTGATGAGGCGACAAGCCTGGCAGCCCGAGTCGAGACTTAGCGGACGGAGGGTCGAGCCTTCACACCTTGACGTAGATTGAGCTGATTCACAAAAACCAACTTAAACACGACACACTTCTGTACAAAAAAAGAAAGAAAAAACAAAAACAAACAAAATATTATTATTATTACTGAAGAAATGACAAGTACTATAAGACTGCGTTTCAACATGCCCATGCTAGGCAGGTCCAACTCACACTCACATGTCCAACTTATTTTTTCATCTCTACCCAAAGTCAATGACACTACACGGGTATTTGTGCCACTCATCCACAACTCTACTGCCATAGCAGTGATCTCCACCACACTTCGTAAACTTATATTCGTCCAGCTTAATTATACTGCTGCGAGTCCTGTCGTGGTCAGATATCCTCAACACATTAGTTATTTTTATTATTATTATCACACCGGCCGATTCCCACCAAGGCAGGGTGGCCCGAAAAAGAAAAACTTTCACCATCATTCACTCCATCACTGTCTTGCCAGAAGGGTGCTTTACACTACAGTTTTTAAACTGCAACATTAACACCCCTCCTTCAGAGTGCAGGCACTGTACTTCCCATCTCCAGGACTCAAGTCCGGCCTGCCGGTTTCCCTGAATCCCTTCATAAATGTTACTTTGCTCACACTCCAACAGCACGTCAAGTATTAAAAACCATTTGTCTCCATTCACTCCTATCAAACACGCTCAAGCATGCCTGCTGGAAGTCCAAGCCCCTCGCACACAAAACCTCCTTTACCCCCTCCCTCCAACCCTTCCTAGGCCGACCCCTACCCCGCCTTCCTTCCACTACAGACTGATACACTCTTGAAGTCATTCTGTTTCGCTCCATTCTCTCTACATGTCCGAACCACCTCAACAACCCTTCCTCAGCCCTCTGGACAACAGTTTTGGTAATCCCGCACCTCCTCCTAACTTCCAAACTACGAATTCTCTGCATTATATTCACACCACACATTGCCCTCAGACATGACATCTCCACTGCCTCCAGCCTTCTCCTCGCTGCAACATTCATCACCCACGCTTCACACCCATATAAGAGCGTTGGTAAAACTATACTCTCATACATTCCCCTCTTTGCCTCCAAGGACAAAGTTCTTTGTCTCCACAGACTCCTAAGTGCACCACTCACTCTTTTTCCCTCATCAATTCTATGATTCACCTCATCTTTCATAGACCCATCCGCTGACACGTCCACTCCCAAATATCTGAATACGTTCACCTCCTCCATACTCTCTCCCTCCAATCTGATATTCAATCTTTCATCACCTAATCTTTTTGTTATCCTCATAACCTTACTCTTTCCTGTATTCACCTTTAATTTTCTTCTTTTGCACACCCTACCAAATTCATCCACCAATCTCTGCAACTTCTCTTCAGAATCTCCCAAGAGCACAGTGTCATCAGCAAAGAGCAGCTGTGACAACTCCCACTTTGTGTGTGATTCTTTATCTTTTAACTCCACGCCTCTTGCCAAGACCCTCGCATTTACTTCTCTTACAACCCCATCTATAAATATATTAAACAACCACGGTGACATCACACATCCTTGTCTAAGGCCTACTTTTACTGGGAAAAAATTTCCCTCTTTCCTACATACTCTAACTTGAGCCTCACTATCCTCGTAAAAACTCTTCACTGCTTTCAGTAACCTACCTCCTACACCATACACTTGCAACATCTGCCACATTGCCCCCCTATCCACCCTGTCATACGCCTTTTCCAAATCCATAAATGCCACAAAGACCTCTTTAGCCTTATCTAAATACTGTTCACTTATATGTTTCACTGTAAACACCTGGTCCACACACCCCCTACCTTTCCTAAAGCCTCCTTGTTCATCTGCTATCCTATTCTCCGTCTTACTCTTAATTCTTTCAATTATAACTCTACCATACACATTAGTTATATCCCTTATATTAATTCCTGTTTGTACATTTCAATAATATGCTCATAATACTATACCTTTCCAGAGAGTGGAAATTCAGCGCCTCTTGTCTATCTTCACAAGTAAGATTTCTCGCTTCGTGGGATCAACTCCGTCATTCTTCTCCGTGGGTTTACCAGCGCATTTACGTCCTTTCTGTAATATGGAGACCAGAACTGAGCAGCATAATCTAAATGAGACCTTACTAAGTATTACCTGGAGTTTACCTGGAGTGAGTTCCGGGGGTCAACGCCCCCGCGGCCCGGTCTGTGACCAGGCCTCCTTAGGTCAGTGTCCCAGGATGCGACCCACACCAGTCGACTAACACCCAGGTACCCATTTTACTGATGGGGAACATAGACAACAGGTGGAAAGAAACACGTCCAATGTTTCTACTCTGGCTGGGAATCGAACCCAGGCCCTCACCGTGTGAAGCCAGAGCGTTAACCACCAGGCACCAGAAGTTGAAGTATAACCTGACGACTTCTATTATTTTTACTTCTTGATACTAAACCACGAATTCTGTTAGTTTCATTGCGAATACTGATGCCCCGTTGTCTTGCCTTTAGTGTTCTGTTGGACGTCAGTCATAAAACTCTTTTGCATTCACTTCAAGATCTTCGTTAATGAAAACAGTAGAAAATACCGACAAGTTGAAAATGAAAACAGTTGGGTACCTGTATTGCTGAAACGTTCCGCCTACACAGTAGACTTCTTCAGTTAAATACAAAGTGAGCAGTAGTAATGAAATAAAGATGATGTAATCAGTCCATCAACCTTGGAAAAAACAGTATTTGAGGTGGTCAGTCCCTCAGCCTGGAGAAGAGTTCAGTTCCATGGAGCTGTGTCTTAATCTTCAAGATCTTCGTTATTTGGTTCATATATCAGGTCAAGAAATAGCAACATCAGAGTTTAATAAGTGTGGTTCATTCTTCAGCGAGTTTATTGTCAAGTGTGCAATAGGTGCGTCATAACTCGTCAGATGGGTAATAGGTACCTCACAGTTCGTTAGAATGTGTAATAGGTGCGTCACAGTGCTACAAAATAAACAAGAGACGTGCTACAGTGCGTCAGGGATGCGGATATGCGGATCTCCCAGCACTACGCTACCAAGGTCGCTCCACTTCTGAGTGTGCGCGAAATTTTCTGAACACAATTTCGGTGTGTGAATCACACTTGCCAGGGTGCGTAACCACCATTAACTCAACCTCCTCCCAGAAGAGGGGTGGTGCACTGACACCGGTGAAGGGCTCTTGATCCAAGACAAGGGGGAGGGACCAGACTTTACTGAGAAGGGATTTACTACTTATGAAGATTTCCAATGCGATATACAACAGCCCAGTTTAACACAGTTTCCATCACTCGTTCGGTGGTGAGGCTTGGATTCAATCTAGACTTTGAGAGCATGTATGTATAGCCCCTTCATCTTCACTGTTTCAAAAAATGTTTCTCACTTTGTATACATAGTTTAATACCTATTCTAGGCATGAAATACTCAGTCTTACTGTTATTGTACTCATAATGAATTACAGCCTTAATGACTCGTGTGCAAGCAACAAAATTTTGATCTATATCAATTTTCAATGTATTTTTCTTCCACACTCATCTAAGCTGAGGCCACCAACACCTCACCTAGTGTTCCTGGTAATCTTCCGCCCTCCCTCCCCAGCTCAGGTTGATCTCTAAACCCCCGACCGCGACCTTTCATCGAGTAGCGATGTTATGAAGGCTCAGGGAGGACTTTAAGACTCTGCTACAACTCATCACGTATCTGCTGATGTCACACCTCTCTATGTAAACACAGCTCCTCGTTTTTCGATCCTACCTGAAGGTTACTTGGAGGTTATTCCGGGGATCAACGCCCCCGCGGCCCGGTACATGACCAGGCCTCCCGATGGATCAGGGCCTGATCAACTAGGCTGCTACTGCTGGCCGCACGCAGTCCAACGTACGAACCACAGCCCGGCTGATCCGGCACTGACTTTAGGTATCTGTCCAGCTCTCTCTTGAAGGCAGCCAGGGGTTTATTGGCAATTCCCCTAATGCTTGATGGGAGGCTGTTGAACAGTTTTGGGCCCCGGACACTTATGGTGTTTTCTCTTAGTGTACCAATGGCGCCCCTACTTTTTATTAGGGGCATTTTGCATCGCCTGCCCAGTCTTTTACTTTCGTAGGGAGTGATTTCTGTGTGCAGATTTGGGACCATTCCTTCCAGGATTTTCCAAGGATGATTATGATATATCTCTCCCTCCTGCGTTCCAACGAGTACAAGTCAAGTGCTTCCAAGCGTTTCCAGTAGTTAAGGTGCTTGACAGAACTTATACGTGCAGTAAAGGATCTCTGTACACTCTCTAGATCTGCGATTTCACCTGCTTTGTATGGAGATGTTAATGTACAGCAGTATTCCAGCCTAGAGAGAACAAGTGATTTGAAAAGGATCATCATTGGCTTGGCATCTCTCGTTTTGAACGTTCTCATTATCCATCCTATCATTTTCTTTGCAAGTGCGATCGTGGCACTGTTGTGATCCTTGAAAGTGAGATCCTCAGACATTACTACTCCCAGGTTCCTTACATTATTTTTCCGCTCTATTGTATGGCCAGAGTCTGTAGTATACTCTGTTCTAGTTATTATCTCCTCCAGTTTTCCATAACGG